CTGTTGGATGCGTCTGGTCATGTAGGGGAGCTCGTCGGCCCCCAGTCCATTTAGCTCATCTACGATCGACTGGGCGGCGCATAGATTCTCGAGGGGAGTGGCGTAGACTGGGCGGTCCGCTCCCAGCATGCTGGCGATGGCCGCGCCGCGCTTCTTGACGACGCCGACTCGGCTTGGCCCTTCTGGAGGCGGCGTGCCGAAGGCAGCGCGGTCGACTTCGTGCTGGTGGGCTTCCGTGAGACATCTCATGGAGGCAATCCTCTGGCCCTCCGCAAGGAGGGCAAGGCGGCGTGCCTCCAGCGTCTCGGCGTCAGCGTCCGCCAGGATGGGGGCGGACAGATCGTGCAGCGTAGCCTGTAGGGCGTCGCGGGCGTTCTCGACGGAGGTGACGCCGTGGCTGATGACCAGCACTTCGGTGACGGTGCTGCCGCCACTGTCGGCTCGAGGAAGAGGGTCGTCGACGATGATCACGTTGGTGGGAAAGGCATCGAGCGATGCCGTGTCGGAGTCGACAAGCATCGGGTCGGTGGAGCCGACCGACTCCAAGTCCGCGGTAGGCTCGCCGGAGACGTGGAGTTGGTCGAGGAGGATGACGAGGCGGTTCTCGGGGCAGCTTGTGCCCGCGTCGGACGCGGGCTCGTCGGAGATGCGAGTCTCACCAAGAAGTTCGGCGAGGCAGCTCGCCGCGCAGGCGTCGTCGACGCTTTGCAGCGCGTCGGGGCAAGCGCCATCGGGCGTGCCGGGCTTGCTACGCTCACTGGGGAGGAAAAGGGTTCCCGTTCAGAGCAGGTCTCCGGACGACGGTGCACCTAGCCCCACGGTGGGCGCCAAATGTCGGGTGGTAGGTGCGACATATGCCAACGGATGGCTTATCATTGTGGGAGCCAGTAAGACATTGTCGGTGCCTGGAAACGGGATAAGGCGAAGACATGCACGCCGGCGGATCTTACCCAGGTTGGGGGCTCTCCTTGGAGATAATACCCCTACTCCTGCTTTGCGGGGTCTCCGCATGATCACTAGATCGATAAGACGCTACAAGAGGCTCCTTGAGATGTTCGGTGGGAGGAGGAAGAAGGGCAAGGCTAGCTCTCTCCTCTCCTTATGGTGGTGTCTAGAACTCTATGAGATCAACCCTTTGCATGGGTGTCCCGGGGGGTTTATATAGGCCTACCCCCCGGGGGTACAATGGTAATCCGGTTGGTCGTGGGTCCAGGCCATCAGCGTCTGCATCCACCGGCTTCTTCGCCGGCTACTGGGGCCCGCCGACTGGTGGATCCCGCCAGCTGCCGGCCCATTGGTCGATAGGCCGGCCCCACCGCTTGGGGGGGTCTTGTCGGGGCGGGTTACTGTTGCCTCGCCTCTGATGACGAGGGCTTTGTCGAGGTAAGCATGGCTATAGTGCCGCCGCCTTGTGGGCTCTCACTGTAGCCTTACCTCGTCTTGTCCGCTTAATGGTGCGCGCGCCCCGAGGAGGGGAGCAAGCCGGCTATAGGAAGCCGGCCCGGCCTCAGGCCGGTTGGGGGAGGTCAGGCCGCCTTCGGATGTCTCTCTGCCCGAAGGGGCCCGCCGCCTGCGGGCTGTACTGGCGACCCGTCGTGGATGGCGTCATAGTCCGCATGGCAACAGTGCCTCGCCGGACAGGAGATGATCGCCCTGTACGGCGTACTGTAGCAATGCGTGTTCCGGGATTCGGGGGTGACAGGGGCCACTTTAGCCACGCCCTGTCCCGTCACCGTTATGGAGGGTGGACTTTTAGGGCGCGGCCCACGGCCGTCTGCCAGGGGCCGGCTTCTTGGAGTCGGTCCTTCAGGGGCCGGCTTCTTGGAGTCGGTCCTTCAGGGTCTGGCTTCTTGGAGTCGGCCCTATCGGGGCGTCCTCCAAAGGCTCTTTATGGCCGGGCCGCCTTCCGCCAGCCGGCCCATGTGATAGCCGGCCGGAAGAAGGCGGCCCCGTGTCCTGGTTGCTTCAGGGCTCGGTCGGCCCATTGTTTTTTCTGAGGGCCAAAGGGAGCCGGTAAGGCTATCCGTGGTCATTTACTCCGACACCTATTTTTCTCCAAAGACTTATTATGTCAATTTACATTCCGTACTTACTTTGAAGGCGGCCGAGCAAACACGGACCCCCATGAGTTATATTGGGTTGGCCATGTAGGACGGTCCTTGAGGTTTGGTCTTTTTTGTCTACCTTTTATTCCATGTTTTACTTACCTGTTTATTTTATATTATTTTATTTTTATTTTACAAAATTCATGAATGTTTTTCAGTTTTGGGAACATAATTAATTGTGAACATATTTTAAAAATCCATGATTTTTTAATTTTGAAAACATTTTAAAAAATATGTGAACATTTTTTAAAATTTGTGACTATTATTAAAAATCATGAACAATTATAAAACTCGTGAACATTTTTTTGAAATTCGGGAATATTTTTTCATAATGATGAAGAATTTTTAAATTTATGAACATTATTTAAATTCAAGAGTGTTTTTAAAATTGTGGATATTTTTGGAAATTCACAAAAAATACATTAATATTTTTTTTTTGAAAAATGCTTTAATGGGACGTGGGTTCCGATACTGTCATGCGGGACTGATGACCCTACGAGACCCTTACATGTAGGGTCCACTTCGAGGAAATTTTTTTGGAGCTCTCCTATGCCTCTACTGCTAGGGAGCTTAACTGTAAGGATTACCCGGGGCACGTGGACGAGAGCAAAGCTACGAGGCGCCGTACGCTAAAAGCATGTATGGGCACGTCTGTTGTGGTCGTTTCCAAGAAAGATTTCAGGTTTATACTTCATTTAAGTGTCCTCCGTACGCTGAGAAAGTTCACAAGTTTATTTCATTTCACTGTCCTTTGTGTACAGAGAAAGGTTACAACTCACAAGTGAGCCTTGGGAAAAATTGACACACAACCGAATAAAGTCTAAGCAGCAAGCACCTTTTACACACAGGAGATCGAGGCTCCTAGCATGGAGAAAATCCAGATTAGTGCTTTTGTAATATCACATTTTACAAGACCCCATGTCCTACAAATCCTATCACGCTACCTACTTTTATTGCCTTCTCTGCATGCATCACCCCAACCCACGAAACAAGAACGACCTGTGAGTACGTGTTAGCACTTAGCAGACAGTTAGTCACAGCGAGGCAGTGCATGCATGGATCACAACCTCGCCCCGGTGCTGGAGAGCAGCAGCCCGCACGGCTGAGACTGCCCACTGAACTGCAGCATGTCGAAAGGGTCCCTCGTCGCGTCGAAGCCATTGGTGATCCAGGGCTCGCTATGGTGGTGCCGGTGGTGCTGGTGCAGAACATCCTCCAGGCCCAGGGCGGCATCGTGGAGGTGCAGCTGGTGCAGCAGCCCATGGTCCTGTGGCTGTGGGTTCGCCTCGCCTGATCAGACACAAGAAACAAAAGTAAGAGTGAGATGATGGGAGGCTACGGCCTTAGGACGGAACCAACCAACAAACACCTGGTGGGAGAACACTGACCACCTTGAGGAGGAAGGCCCGGGATCTGCGTGCTCGCTGGACCCGGCGGCGCCGGCGCTGTCGGCGACTGGTCGGCGCACTGCGACTGCACCTTGAATTCCACGATACGGCCGGGGAACTTGTAGGCATCTTGCTGCAACTTCACCACCAGCGCCTGCATGCAACGCGACGCTGTTATGTTTACGAACGATCCACGCATTGTTCTTGAGACAGAGACGTCTCTGTCCGAAACGAAGTGTTTTCAGATGTTTTAACCACCTTCTGCGTCGCGGTGAGGGCGTTCAAGGAGAAGCAGTTGCTCCCAACCACCACCCCGATGATTTCATGGATGCAGTTGAAGAGCAGGATGATCCCGTGCCCGCTGCAGTAGGAGTAGAGCTTGTCGTCCAGGACGCACTCCCGGGCATGCTCCACGGTTGACTCCCACATTTTGTTCGACATCCCACTGCCGAGCAACTGAAAATGGCACACGTGATGAGAATATATAGTTTGTAGAGTACGTGGAACTCTGTAGAAAGAGGCAGGGCAGGTTCTTACGCCGCGCAGTCCATATTGATCCATCACCAAGTTCCTGAGGAAGTCCTGAACGGTGTGTATGCCAAAGTCAGCGAGCTTCTTGTGGAAAACACCGTCTTTCCCAATCTTCTCCAAACGCCATACGTCGTCAGCCAACGCGGGAGGGTGATGCTTCTTGTAAACTGAAAAATAAAAATTCAACCAGTCAGTTAGACTACAAGGAAAAAAAAAACATTGCGTTTGGTGAAAATATGTAATAATCACAAACCTTCACCACGGTGATCCTTCACCAGGAAGGGGTTGCTGACAGCCTCCTGCACCCTCTCTTCGATGGAGCTGGCGCGAGACATCCTCGCGCCGAGCCTAAACTTCCTGCTTCTGATCCAGCTGGAGTTGTCCGTGAAGGAGATGTCCCGGACAGAGGCCACGCCTTTCTCGAGCACAATGACCACCTCACCGGACAGCAGTGGCCTCTTGCCTTCTCTCTCGAAGACTATGCTCTCGCTGAACTCCTTCTCGGTGTGCTCAAGGCGCTCGTCGGCGTTGAAGTCGCCATCAAGGACGAGGAGCTCCATCTTCATGGAGGACAAGGGGCCTGAGGTGATCAGCTGGTTGTTGACGGCATCAGTGAGAACAATTCGAAGTGGCTGCTTGTTCTCTGCTTCCACCCTGTTGCCCGTGAAAAGGGTCTGAGGCAGGTTGCCCTGGAACTGCAGCTTGTATCTTTTACTGCTCGTCTTTAACTGAAGCGGAATCCTGAGTAATGCAGAGCAGAAATTTAGTCAGTAAAACAGGAAGGAACCTATAAGTTAACACTTTCGGCCAAAGTAGAATTAGCAGCCCTATAAAGTTTAAAAAGGAACTACCGCTACTGCACTGCCTAATGTTAGTAACAACCATATGCTGGCAATTTAAAGGGTTTTCAACAGCATTACGAGCAGTATATTCAGGTCCATATTGTTTGTCGCGACTTCAAAATCGCAAATTCAGGCAGTGAAAAGGTCTTCAGAGTTATATCTGCTCCATATTATTGTTGCTACGCTAGTAGTGTTTCAGTAGTAACCTTGTATAGCATGTTAATGAAGCATGTAACTGCACACAGAACATTGAATCACTAAACACAGTTATTATTTGGAGTAGTATTTAGGCGCTAACCTGTGCGCCGAATCGATGTGGCGGATAAGAACATTGTGCACTTCTTCCTGCACCTGAATTCGCAGCAGAGTCAGCACATTACTACCGAAGAAGCGAGTTCTGCAGAGTAAACAAACATGAAGAGAAATGTGCTTACAACTCTGCGCAGAAACGGCTCCAGCTTGGGCAGATGCTTCTGCATGTACTGCGCGCCAATGGCCTCCTGCATCGAGCTACTGCTGCACAGAGCAAAAGGTACCAAGCATCGTCAGAACCAAGCAAACTCAAAGCCTGACACCATTCTGTGGAGAACCAATAATGCACTCACTTGAGAAGCGTTCGCCGGCGCTTGGCGTCCGGGGAGGCGAGCTCCTCCTCGTCGCCGTCCACCACCTCCTCCTCCACGATGTCCAGGACCCTCTTCAAATCCATCACGGACTTGACTTGCCTAAGCTCACTTCACTAGCTAGCTTCACCTGAGGTGAGTGAGGTGCGTGGGCGGCGTAGGAGTCTGAGCTGGCTGTGCAAGTGATGACCACGTACGTACGTGGGCTATAAATAGCGGCGGCAATGAGCAGAGGAAGCAGCGCCGAAGCTTCTCTCCCCCTCCCCACAGGGTGGTGGCGGGTCGGTCTCGTCAAGGACACGCTCCCCTCGCCGGCAAGCCAAAAGACCGTAAAGCCTCATCAGAATCCCTAGAAATGCCAAGATTCGGCTCGGGCACGCCCACCCACCCGGGGCTTTGGGCCTTTTCCTCCTCGCCCCTCCTCCCTCCCCTCCTCTCTTTCAGTGCCCGTCGACAAAAAGGGCGCGGAATTTTGTCAGAAAGCGGCAAAGCGGCGAGGCGAGCCGTGCATGCATGGAGATCATGGAGATGATGATGGTGGTGGAGCTGGAGATGGGCTAGCGCTCGCCCGGCGCGTGCATCGAGAGGCGTGCCGGCGTACGTACGTGGTGGTGGTGGTGGTGGTGGCCGGTGCATGGCTGGATATCGATCGGAGAAGCTTCCGGGAAGCAGGCGGAGCTCTAGCATGGCGATGGGAGAGGCGGGGCGCGTAGGCTTTCGGGGAGGAAAGATGGGTACAAAGGCCAGCTTTCCGCCGGGAGGGGGGAGCTGCTGCCCTTCTCTCGGGTGCTCGCCTGCTCGGACGGGGAAGAAAGGAGGAGCAAAGCAGAGCTAGGAGAACAAAGCGAAGAATTTATTCTCCTCCAAGCTCATGCTCCTGCTTTGCGTTGCGTTCGTGTGCCTGTGGGGAGACGAGACGAGAGAGGAAAAAATTGAAATGGAGTGGACTTTGTCCATTTCCTTTTCTCTCCTTGTCCTCTTCGTCCGATCCGTCTCGCTTATCTGTAGAATCAGCTGAAAGGACTTTCCCGGTTACTGAACGAATGATGAATTGTTTAGATATCTATTCATCATTTCTTCTCCACTGTCCTTGTCTTCTTCGTCCGGTCCATCTCGCTCATCTGTAAAATCAATTGAGAGGACTTTACCCCGGTGATTGAGTGAATGATGAAATGTACAGTTATGAGTTCATCATTTCTTCTCTACTGGGCCGTCGAGTAGCACTGACTTGAAAATCACGGTCGCATCTGGTCTTATTTATCTCTGGCGCGCAGATACGCAGCCAACCATATGCCGTAGGAGGACGGACAGAAGAGCGGATTTTCCATTCTCGCCCGAATTCCCGGAAAGGAATCCTAGAAAGCGAGATATCCGGGTTTCTGCAGGCACCCTCCCCTGCAGAGCAGCTGCAGGATTAGATTACGAGGTATGTGGCTCTGCCTCTGGCTCTGGTGTGGGGGTCAGTCGGTCAGCTCTACCGTCGCCTTTGCTGGCCCCTAGAAAAAGCGGCTTATTACATCATGCTTGCTCCGGCCCTTTATTGTCACTGCTGCTATCTCCAAATCTCCAAATCTCCCATGCATGTGAGGGGGGCGAAAGCCGGCTTTAGCATACGATGCTGATGCTCTCAGTCCCAGCGAACTTTGGGCGTGCGCGCGCGCCATGTCCCTAGCTACTACTCACGTATCGGTATGGTGGTATCCGAGGCAGCCGTCTGCTTCTCAGGATTTCTCTTCGAGGTTAGGATTAAGGAGACAATTGGTCACACAGATGCTGCCGTGTGTTAGAAATATAGTACTATTTGGGTTTCAGTTATAGATAACATCAACAAGTCTCCCTCCTTATTATACACAATATACACCCCCATATCGATACAACACAACATCAGAAATATTTCATCATATAATTTAAGGACCGGACTAACCGACGATCGTTATGTGTATAGCGATAGATATCAACAATTCCCACATCGCGATGCCGAGCAGTCACGTGCTACAAACTTGGCCCACCACGACCCCGCACCACCAGCACTCGAACCAAAGCCGAGCAATTAACCCCCCACGCCGCCCACACCACCACACCCTTCTTTGTCTCTTACCCCCGACGCAAGAAAGGATTTCTTATCAGCTTCAGCAACCGCCAAAATTCTCGTCTCCCAATCCAGAAGCTACTTCACCACCATGATGGGTTTCTCCGAAGATCCCAAAAATCTCTCTTCTCTCCATCCTCTAAAGAGCACAGTTATCAGCACTTAATCATAAAACTTACCAGGGGAGAATTTTTCTTGGGCATAGATAATTCAAAAAAAGAACATATTGCGTTCAGATGTGGGTTGTTGTTGGTATATGGACCGGTGGATCGCGCTCGATCTGTCGAGTTCTTAGGTGAGCTCTACACAAAAATTCAAGCAGTGACATGCCCTTTTGGGATCGCTGGGATTTTAACTTAATCCGAGGGGCAACGGGTAAGAGCAATCTTCATATAAATAATCAAAGGAGTGTAGATATGTCTAATGATTGGGTTGTGGAACTCGAGCTAATCGAGCTCCATATGATTGGCACTAGGTTCACTTGGTGGAATAACCGGGACGACCTGGGGCGGTGCGTCCTGGATAGGGCGTTTGTGTCTACCAATTGGGAGAGCAAGTTCCTGAGGTGCTCTCTCACGCCAGAAATCCGCCTGGGATCCGATCATTGTCCTCTAATCCTATGTTTTGGTGAAATACCATGACAATCATCGAAAAGGTTCTTCTTCGAGAAACAATGGTTACTACAACCGGGATTTGTGGACTACGTAGTGGATATCTGGTTGCGGGCTAGGTCGCGCCCGCCGCATTGTTACGGTCCTTTTTTGTTATTCCTTGGACATGTGGCAACATTGTATTCGACAACTTCAACATAACCGAGGGGATGGGTGGGGGTCAATGTGGGGAGCGCTCTAAAAGCCCGCAAGCAGACACTGCTCGCTAAGCTGGTAGATTTAGACTCCATAGCTGACACCGGGGGGGATCACCCATGATGAGTGGGCTCGAAGATATGCAATGGAGGGCGAGATGATTTTCATTCTTAGGTGTGAGGAAATGTATTGGCAGTAGCGGGGCCAACAAAAATGGGTGGTGGAAGGGGATGTTAGTGGTGAGTTCTTTCATGTCGTGGCCAATGGGAGAAGGCGTCGATGCATGATTCATTTCTTTCAGGATGATTTGGTGATTATTTCGGATGAGGGTGAGCTTCGACGACATATTTATGGTTTCTATCGAGATCTTCTCGGATTTGGTATCCGCCCCCGTCGGCTCTCGTCCGGTCTATGATTCGGATGTGGTATATTATTTTCTATAATTATCTATTTCAATTAGTGTTTATGACAATTATGCCGACCAACATGACATAGATGTTTTATCTAGAAGGTATGTGAACCGGAAATTCCAACCGACCCTCTTGTCGTGAGGTTAAATTTGGTTGAAAAAGAAAACAATTATTTAAAAGAAAAATTGAAAAAAAATTGAAGATGAGAAGTTGAAACTGGAGTTGTATGTTGCCGATGTCGTCGACGATCACAAGATCCAGATGAATGGAATGCGCTCGAAGATTAGAAAGATTAGAAAATATGCCATTGATAATGAGGCTTGGTATCATTATGCTGTTCAATCAATTGTTACCTTAGTTGCGATTATGATCGCATTTCTTGTTGCATTTAAATGTTTTACATAGTTGTATGTTAGTTCCAATGTATGTTTTAATTAGATGCTCTAGAGAGCTGTAAGTTGTTCTATGAGAACTATATATGAACTTTATGTATTTATTTTTCCAGTAATAGCATTTTATCACTATTGTACTTTGGTTTTAATGTGGTGATGAACTTGCACTAATTTGGTCACTTCTCTATTTATGATGTTCTGTAATGGTTTTGATACACTTAATTATATAATGCACACAGATGAACCGGCAATGGATGTACGTGGACCAACGCACCTCCGAGTACATTGACGGCCTGCATAATTTTCTCCAAGTGGCTGAGGCAAATAAGCAGAATGATTTTGTGTATTGTCCATGTACTGTCTGTGGGAATACGAAGGATTAATCTTCCCCAAAAACCCATCACTTTCACCTGCTTGAGAAGGGTTTCATGCCACATTATAATATTGGACCAAGCACAGAGAAAGAGGGGTTATGATGGAAGACAATGAAGAAGAAAAGGGTGATGACAACTATCCTATGTTCCCTGAATACGGTGATACTGCAACGGGGGACGCTGAAGATCAAGAGGCATCATATGTGCCCGATGATGATCTTCGCTGGGTCATTGTTGATGCACAGAGAGAATGCAAAAGTGAAAGGGAGAAGTTGAAGTTCGAGCGCATGTTAGAGGATCACAAAAAAGGGTTGTACCCAAATTGCGAAGATGACAACACAAAGCTCGGTACCACACTGGAATTGCTGCAATGGAAGGCAGACAATACTGTATCTGACAAGGGATTTGGGAAGCTACTGAAAATAATGAAGAAGAAGCTTCCAAAGGATAACAAATTGCCAGACAGTACGTACGAACCAAAGAAGGTTCTCTGCCCTCTAGGATTATAGGTGCAAAAGATACATGCATGCCGACTGCATCCTCTATCACGGTGAGGAGACGAGAATTTAAACGCATGCCCGGTATGTGGTGCATTGTGGTATAAGATCAGACGAGATGACCCTGGTGATGTTGAGGGCGAGCACCCCAGGAAGAGGGTTCCTTCCAATGTGATGTTGTATGCTCCTATAACGCTATGGTTGAAATGTTTGTTCAAAAACAAAGAGCATGCCAAGTTAATGTGATGGCACAAGGAAGACTGTAAGAAAGACAGGAACTTGAGAGCACCCGCTGATGGGTCGCAGTGGAGAAAAATTGAGAGAAAGTGGGGGACTTTGTAGGTGATGCAAGGAACATATGGTTTGGTTTAAGTGCAGATGGCATTAATCCTTTTGGGGATCAGAGCAGCAATCATAGCACCTGGCCCGTGACTCTATGTATCTATAACCTTCCTCCTTGGTTGTGCATGAAGAGGAAGTTCATTACGATGCATGTGCTCATCCAAGGCCCTAATCAA